AGGGGGCTTTTAGAAACTCTTGTCCTCCTAATCATTATCTACTGCCTTAAACTGCTCGAATTCCAGCAAATTCCTAGTGGCCATCCCAGCGGTTATGCCAACCGTGACCCGAGGTAGAGAAATATGCTGGAGGGGAGATAAATATTGCTGTATCGTCTTTTTTAGAATTCACCCACTAAATATCAGGATTGTGAAATCAACAATGAATAAACGAAGTCTCCATCGACTGATCAGAGACGATAGACAAGACCTCGGTGTTCATGATATCATTAGACCCAAATTGAACAAACGACAAACAAACTCCACTTACCACACCAAACCCGAGGTTCATTTCTTCATATATGCCGCCAAAAACGTGCATGGGTTATTTGATGTGGAAAGAATGATAAACTGTTTGTAATGCGAATGTTTTTTTGCTTCCACCCATTTTTGTAAAAATTAAAAATAATGCAAATTTAGAATTGCAAGGATAGAAGCTTGTTTTGGAGAGAACTTATGAAACCTAATTGTGACACTTAAGATATTTAATACATATTTCTTATTTGCGGTTTCTTAAAAACAGTTTTGTACTAAATTGGCAGTTAGGCTCATCTTCTGAATTGTTTCCATCATTTATAAACAATGGTGTTCGGCTTTTTGCTTTAAATAAAAGTGAACGTCTTTATATCTCTCTGACTACATGAGTAGAAGAAGTGTTGTCGTATATCACACATCACTAATGTGTAAAAGCTCTGCAACGCTGCTAGCATGGACCGATTTCCATCCCACAATTAAAGAAGGCAAAGTGTCATATTACTTTATTCCAGCATAGTAATAGAAACGCAGAGCATGAAAATGTAGAAGCATGATCATTGTTTAATGCACTCATGCATTACATATTTGCATTTAGCTTCCACGCATCAACTGTAGGGTTAAATTCATGTAGATATGGTAGAGATTTATTTTGTCGTTTGAATTCCTTATCATGGCTCATCAAACTCCACAGCTTGTGCTTCTCTTCTGCATGTCCATTCAGTCCTGCCTATATACTTCTAACCTTCCTCCACACTAACGCCACAGCCCCTGCGTGATAATGTTGTAGTCAAATCGATGTCTTTCTCTTCCCTTAATTCTTTGAACATATAGAATGATTAGATAGGGTCGTTCATTGTTCATGGTGTTATAAATGGGGCACTGTGAACGAGATTATGTCTGTTCAGAGTACACACCCTCCTCGAGGGCAGATGATGGCCAGTTCTTAACGAAATCCTAATCTGCTTACCGCCTCTCGCCTAAATCATTCATTAATTCATTTCATATTTTGAACACTGCACATGTTATTTTAGTTAGTGCACATACCACATCTTCGTATCCGAAAGGTCGCATTTTAGTGTGATGTACGGTGGTTGGTTGAGGATGGAATTGTGCACTGCAGCCGAAGTATTTTGCTGGTGTGATAACTTTCATCACGCGGAGTATGCATTTGCCCTGTGGATGGTGGAACTTGCGGTGTACTCCAGGGAGCAGCATTGGCCTATATAGCAGTACTACATCCCCTTCCTGATAGATGTTGATCTCACTGTGTTTGTCACATCATCCCTTCTGTCTAGTATATGAGGGTCGTATGTGTTTCCA